CTTCATCATAATGAAAGTTTTCCCTTCCCTTCATAATGGCCCTTCAGTCTCCTGACTCCTGATACCATTTTCATCACCTTACTCTTGGTGGTGTGGAACTCTAGCAGCCATTTCTCTGGTCAACTCTACAAACTGTTCAAGTCATCTTAGTGAATCTTATAATCCTCGTTTGTCTCAACCCTCCACAATAGTTTTGCATCATCTACAAGCATCGACATATATGACTCAATTCCTGCAATCAAGTCATTTATATAAATGAGGAATAGTGTGGGACCCAACACCGATCCTTGAGGAACCCCGCTTGTTACTCTACGCCAGTCCTACTTTTAGCCCCTCACTGTCACTCTCTGACACCTGTCTGTTAGGTAGTTCATTTCCCATGTTCGTGCGCTTCCGTCAACTCCCTCCCGTCTCTCAAGTTTGTATAGTAAACTCCTGTGTGTCTGTGTGTGTGTACTCACCTAGTTGTACTCGCCTAGTTGTGCTTGCGGGGGTTGAGCTCTGGCTCTTTGGTCTCACCTCTCAACCGTCAATCAATTGGTGTACAGGTTCCTGAGCCTACTGGGTTCTATCATATCTACATTTGAAACTGTGTATGGAGTCAGCCTCCACCACATCACTGTGTGTGTGCTGCAGCTGGAACATACCAACAAGCTTATGAAGTGAGAGAGCGGTAGGTAGAGGCGGTCTGGTCACACACACACACACACACACACACACACACACACACACACACACACACACACACACACACAATGGCCTTCACTCACAGTAACTGTGATCCAGTCTTCCCCCACACGCGGAGTCTTGGGAGTTCGCCATCTCGAAAGAGGATAAATGACTTAATAATAAAGTAAGCGAGGAGGGGGGTAGGAACGGTCAAGCGCCACAGGTGTCTGCAACACCGGCTTGGCCGCCAGAGCTGTCGTGGCTGCCTTACCCTTACCCGGCGGTCCCAGGACCCGGCGAGTCACAGGGCTCGACGGGTCCCAGGGGGCCGGCGGGTCACAGGGCTCGGCGGGTCACAGGGGCCCGACGGGTCCCAGGGCTCGGCGGGTCACAGGACTCGACGGGTCCCAGGGCTCGGCGGGTCCCAGGGCTCACCGGCGAGGGAAGGACAGTGGTGGCAAATATTGCAGAGGTTTCCGCTGGCGACACCACGCGCAGTCATGGCCTGCGGCGTCCAGGCTCCTGCTGTCCCTATACCATGTTCTTCTTCCTCCTCCTGCGCCTACAATATTCTTGTCATTGTCGTGTTCTAGTGTCTACTGTGGTCTTGATCCTCCCGTGTTCTTCTTCAGGGCGTGTCTTCTTTTAGGGCCGTGTTCTTGTTCCGGCCTTGTTCTTGTCCGTACCGCGTTCCTGTTCCTACTGGAAGCAAATTCTCAATGCATATAGAACGGGAAGCGGGATTCTTTATATATATATATATATATATATATATATATATATATATATTCCTTCGTGTGTAAAATGTTCTATTTCGAACGCTTCAAGAAATTAATTAATCCAAATATCATTGTTTGCCAAATTTCGAGAATTAATGCAATTATTTGTTGCCTCGGACGCCTACTAGTCGTGACTCTTAAGATATTCTTCACAGTCAGATATCATAATTCCAACATTGTCCATCTGGCATCATTATCCAGCCTCAGAACCCTATCAAATTAAGTACTTATTGACAATATCACCCATTTTCTTGTCATTATCTCTTACTTGACTCTGAAAAATTTTCAGGGGCCTAGTTTTCTCCGTAAATCTTGGTCCCGTATATCTGAAATTACTCTTTAGGATTTGTCTTTGCCTGCCCTGCCATACAAACTTAGTAATTCCTTTAGTTTTTCACATTTCTTTTAGAAATGTTCTTGCTAGCCTGTCAAATTGTTGTTCTATACACACTTCCCCATGCTTAATTCATTTAGATTTTTTTCCCCATGGTTAATATTTTCGGCCATAATTATTAAACAATTTGCATAGTATAATTCGTTCTTTGACGTCAGTTAGAAACTCATTTCATGAGATATAATTTGCATCCGCATTTGTAATTCAGAGTCATGTCAATCGCCTCTGGATTCATGTCCCATCCCAAGAACGACCGACCACCTGTGCTCTGAGTTATTCAGAGACCATCCAAATATCCAGCACATTGTCTCTCCAAGAGAAGATAATCAGTAGTTCTTAAAATCTCAAAGTCATCAGATAGTGGATGATATTCCCGATTACAGTCCTCCCAGTCAGCTGGTTGGGGGTGACAGCTTCCAATTGGTCCTCCAGGTCAACAAAGTGGGGTGACAGCCCCCCAGTGAGGTCCCCAGGTCAACAAAGTGGGGTGATAGCCCCCCAGTGAGGTCCTCCAGGTCAACAAAGTGGGGTGACAGCCCCCAGTGAGGTCCTCCAGGTCAACAAAGTGGGGTGACAGCCCCCAGTGAGGTCCTCCAGGTCAACAAAGTGGGGTGACAGCCCCCAGTGAGGTCCCCAGGTCAACAAAGTGGGGTGACAGCCCCCAGTGAGGTCCCCAGGTCAACAAAGTGGGGTGACAGCCCCCCAGTGAGGTCCTCCAGGTCAACAAAGTGGGGTGACAGCCCCCCAGTGAGATCCTCCAGGTCAACAAAGTGGGGTGACAGCCCCCCAGTGAGGTCCTCCAGGTCAACAAAGTGGGGTGACAGCCCCCAGTGAGGTCCTCCAGGTCAACAAAGTGGGGTGACAGCCCCCCCAGTGAGGTACCCAGGTCAACAAAGTGGGGTGACAGCCCCCCAGTGAGGTCCTACAGGTCAACAAAGTGGGGTGACAGCCCCCAGCGAGGTCCTCCAGGTCAACAAAGTGGGGTGACAGCCCCCAGTGAGGTCCTCCAGGTCAACAAAGTGGGGTGACAGCCCCCCCAGTGAGGTACCCAGGTCAACAAAGTGGGGTGACAGCCCCCCAGTGAGGTCCTACAGGTCAACAAAGTGGGGTGACAGCCCCCAGTGAGGTCCCCAGGTCAACAAAGTGGGGTGACAGCCCCCAGTGAGGTCCTCCAGGTCAACAAAGTGGGGTGACAGCCCCCAGTGAGGTACCCAGGTCAAACAGCCCACCCATCCTTCCCTCCCTGCAGCAACAAGAGCAAATCAACAGCTCAACTTGAACATTAGAGAGTTATCGTTGCGTCTCCTCCTCTCTCTCCGCGCTGACGCTGGCGCTGCTGCCCCTCACAGCCCTGTCTCACGTCCCCCCCTCACAACCTGGCCTCGCGTCCCCTCACAGCCCTGTCTCACGTCCTCCCCTCACAACCTGGCCTCGCGTCCCCTCACAGCCCTGTCTCACGTCCTCCCCTCACAACTTGGCCTCGCGTCCCCTCACAGCCCGGTCTCACGTCCCCCCCTCACAACCTGGCCTCGCGTCCCCTCACAGCCCTGTCTCACGTCCCCCCCTCACAACCTGGCCTCGCGTCCCCTCACAGCCCTGTCTCACGTCCCCCCCTCACAACCTGGCCTCGTGTCCCCTCACAACCCTGTCTCACGTCCTCCCCTCACAACCTGGCCTCGCGTCCCCTCACAGCCCTGTCTCACCTCCCCCCCCTCACAACCTGGCCTCGTGTCCCCTCACAACCCTGTCTCACCTCCCCCCCTCACAACCTGGCCTCTCGTTCCCTCACAACCCTGTCTCACGTCCACCCTCACAACCTGGCCTCGCTTCCCCTCACAACTTGCTGGCCCCAGTGCCTGGATAACTACCCAATTAACTCGCTGATGGACAATCTTGACGCCCTACCACGGTAGCACAGCTGTCATAACATTACAGTTGTGGGAGACCTCAACCATCTATGGGAGTCTGTCTGTTCGTCTGTCTGTCCACAGTAGGAAGTTAGACGCTTGGGGTTATGCTCACCAAACTTTGCAGTGAGAATGGTCTTGGGTATGGCATGGACATAGGCTGGTTGTGGTAGACCTAAATTAAATGTTTTAAGAAACCTGAGCATCTACAGAGACGCCACCCTACATTCGATTTTCACGGAGTCAAGGGTGAAATATTTGGTGTATTCACCCTAGACTTTTTAGTTGTCAAAATAACATTTTTTTTTTGAGACCAGAAGAGTTGTTTCAGTGCTTCTTAATAATACATTTTCTGATAAAAGGAGGAGAGGAGAAGCAGGGAAAGGAACATACTAGACGATCAGACCATCGGGAGGTCTGATAGGCTAGCTGTACTCGCTAGCCATTACAAACTAGGGCGAAGAATCAGCTCTCACAACCAGGCTATGTGAGAAGGGAAACTGGGCAGCACTCTGCTCATAGGAGCAAGCGAATGGAAAGTCTTGCTCCAGGGTGAAGGTAAACTGCCAGCCACATGCCTCCACCTGTCACATACAGCTAGTATGACAGGTGTAGCAGCAGCAGCAGGGTGACAGGTGTAGCAGCAGCAGCAGCAGCAGCAGCAGGGTGACAGGTGTAGGAGCAGCAGCAGCAGCAGCAGGGAGACAGGTGTAGCAGCAGCAGCAGCAGCAGCAGCAGCAGGGTCAGGTGCAGTAACCCACGCAGAAGCTTGAAGACGAGCTTCCCTTTCGCACACCTGACCTGAAGCCACAACTCTGGCACAGTAATTAAAGTCAAAATCAGATAGACCCCCATGCACGATTGTCTTCCAGACTGCCCACCTTCCTCCTGCTCTTATCGCCCCATGAACGACAGCTCCCAGACTGGCTACCTTTCCCTTCATATCGACCCCACGAGAACCTCCCAGACTGGCTACCTTCCCTTCATATCGACCTATGAACGAGAACCTCCCAGACTGGCTACCTTCCCTTCATATCGACCTATGAACGAGAGCCTCCTAGACTGGCTACCTTTCCCTTCATATCGACCAATGAACGAGAGCCTCCTAGACTGGCTACCTTTCCCTTCATATCGACCTATGAACGAGAGCCTCCTAGACTGGCTACCTTTCCCTTCATATCGACCTATGAACGAGAGCCTCCTAGACTGGCTACCTTCCCTTCATATCGACCTATGAACGAGAACTCCCAGACTGGTTACCTTTCCCTTCATATCGACCTATGAACGAGAGCCTCCTAGACTGGCTACCTTTCCCTTCATATCGACCTATGAACGAGAGCCTCCTAGACTGGCTACCTTTCCCTTCATATCGACCTATGAACGAGAGCCTCCTAGACTGGCTACCTTTCCCTTCATATCGACCTATGAACGAGAGCCTCCTAGACTGGCTACCTTTCCCTTCATATCGACCTATGAACGAGAGCCTCCTAGACTGGCTACCTTTCTCTTCATATCGACCTATGAACGAGAGCCTCCTAGACTGGCTACCTTTCTCTTCATATCGACCTATGAACGAGAGCCTCCTAGACTGGCTACCTTTCCCTTCATATCGACCTATGAACGAGAGCCTCCTAGACTGGCTACCTTTCTCTTCATATCGACCTATGAACGAGAGCCTCCTAGACTGGCTACCTTTCCCTTCATATTGACCTATGAACGAGAGCCTCCTAGACTGGCTACCTTTCTCTTCATATCGACCTATGAACGAGAGCCTCCTAGACTGGCTACCTTTCTCTTCATATCGACCTATGAACGAGAGCCTCCTAGACTGGCTACCTTTCCCTTCATATCGACCTATGAACGAGAGCCTCCTAGACTGGCTACCTTTCCCTTCATATCGACCTATGAACGAGAGCCTCCTAGACTGGCTACCTTTCTCTTCATATCGACCTATGAACGAGAGCCTCCTAGACTGGCTACCTTTCTCTTCATATCGACCTATGAACGAGAGCCTCCTAGACTGGCTACCTTTCTCTTCATATCGACCTATGAACGAGAGCCTCCTAGACTGGCTACCTTTCTCTTCATATCGACCTATGAACGAGAGCCTCCTAGACTGGCTACCTTTCCCTTCATATCGACCTATGAACGAGAGCCTCCTAGACTGGCTACCTTTCCCTTCATATCGACCTATGAACGAGAGCCTCCTAGACTGGCTACCTTTCCCTTCATATCGACCTATGAACGAGAGCCTCCTAGACTGGCTACCTTTCTCTTCATATCGACCTATGAACGAGAGCCTCCTACACTGGCTACCTTTCTCTTCATATCGACCTATGAACGAGAGCCTCCTAGACTGGCTACCTTTCTCTTCATATCGACCTATGAACGAGAGCCTCCCAGACTGGCTACCTTTCTCTTCATATCGACCTATGAACGAGAGCCTCCCAGACTGGCTACCTTTCTCTTCATATCGACCTATGAACGAGAGCCTCCTAGACTGGCTACCTTTCCCTTCATATCGACCTATGAACGAGAGCCTCCTAGACTGGCTACCTTTCTCTTCATATCGACCTATGAACGAGAGCCTCCTAGACTGGCTACCTTTCCCTTCATATCGACCTATGAACGAGAGCCTCCTAGACTGGCTACCTTTCTCTTCATATCGACCTATGAACGAGAGCCTCCTAGACTGGCTACCTTTCCCTTCATATCGACCTATGAACGAGAGCCTCCCAGACTGGCTACCTTTCTCTTCATATCGACCTATGAACGAGAGCCTCCTAGACTGGCTACCTTTCCCTTCATATCGACCTATGAACGAGAGCCTCCTAGACTGGCTACCTTCCCTTCATATCGACCTATGAACGAGAGCCTCCTAGACTGGCTACCTTTCCCTTCATATCGACCTATGAACGAGAGCCTCCTAGACTGGCTACCTTCCCTTCATATCGACCTATGAACGAGAGCTCCCAGACTGGCTACTAGTGTATGTTATGTGCAGTTTGCATGACGGGTTCATCTTCCCGATGACTACACGAGTGGCAACGTTTGCAGACGCGTCTACCTGGCACGTCAGTGTTTATGTGGCAAGGCTTCAAACTCGGGGTTGTTCTCAGTACCGGGGTGGTGACGGGAAATGGCCGTGCTAAAAACAACCTGACCTCTTACAAAGATCGTCGTATTTCACTCGTATGCGTTACAAAAGGCAACAAAATTATCGTACTAGAAAATTGAAGCGGTTGGCGAAAGTAACGTACTGTCCCGTGTTTAAATTTTGCCCCGATTGGCGAGTTTATTGGGCAGCGCCACTCATCCTGTGAGTGGACATATCGCCATAGTGACAGTATTGGGCAGCGCCACTCATCCTGTGAGTGGACACACCGCCATAGCAGCATGTATAACACTTCCCAATAGGAAGAAAACCCGCTGGGTTGTTCATCCTGTCACTTGTACCCCAGACACAGCTGGGACTTGCTTAACTGTCTCAAGTGAACAGCTCCTCAAACAAGAAGATTAACATCTGTCAACCCTTAAAATCTTACGTTATCTTGCGGGTGCAAAATGGGGGGAATCTTAAGAACAGTATAAATATTTGACAAATAGTGTTTTCCTAACTCAACGTGGGATTTATTATTCCATCTCAGGTAGTGATCAAGGCGGTGTCCGTCACTCTCATCACAGATTCTGCAACTCCGCTGCTCAACTGTTGTTTCCATTCCGAATCTTCATGTGTCCAAGACGGATTATCGTTATTACTGGTTCTCTCCCTCGGCCACCTCTGGTAGGTTAGGAGAGGACACTTTACATTGACCGTTTTCTTGACTTTGGGAAACCTTAGGAGGACGGGCTGGTTTGAGAGACAAACTTGATGCAACTTTAAGGCAAGGGCTGGATGTTATGTTTATAGCTTTGAGGTGTATGTACAAGTCAAATGTTCGCACGAGCACTAACGAAGACTATATATCTTGAGGTTCTTCTTGAGATGATTTCGGGTCTTAGTGTCCCCTGCGGCCCGGTCCTCGACCAGGCCTCCACGCTCAGGAAGCAGCAGTGTTCATTATATAAATATTGTTATATCATTCATTATTATTACTGTTACAATAGGTGATGTACCTTCCGAAGGTGACTATGATGAAGACGCCCGAGGTGATCCATCCCACTTGCCCTGATTATCACTCAAATCAACTAAAGAAACATTTCAATTAATATGACTAAAACAAAAACAAACCAATCAGGCAGCATGATTGACTCTAAGACAAACCGACCCCCTAACGGATCCCATGGACACCTCACATGATAGATAAATGAAAGTGAGAATCTAGTCTGTGAGAATGAGTCTGGGATGCTCCCGGACGCAGGTTCGAATCCTCGTCACGGCCCTTGTGGATTTGTTCATTTAATGTGAGAATCTCTTCCCAACAATTAACAGTTGATTACATTCAGCCGAAAATAGCACTTCAAAGTACTAACAAGAAGTGAGTCTTATCAAGCGGAATTGCTAGATGATGCCAAAATCCCAACTGATAAATCTGCCATACTGGAATCCAGTATAACACAGTATGAGGATAATGTACAAGAAACTGAATCCTTATACCATCATACTGGCTAAACATGAGGCTACAACTCCCCTCAATATCCTCACTCAGCACTGCACAATCAGAAGCACGATTACCACCGACTGATTTACCAACCTATGCTGGACTGGACGAAGAAAACTGGTATTCATTCTGAATGGCCTTTGATACTCGTGTGAACTCAAAGGCTTCACTTACAAAAGTAACCAATTTTACCTGCCTTCAGAGCCAGCTCAATGGAGAGGCCAACGTCATCGCTAATCTATAATCTAATCTATAAAATAACTATGATATAGTGATTCAACTGTTAAAAGATAATTGCTCTAACAAAGAGATGAACATTGTCAATCTCTATTATCAGTTAGTAGATTTAGCTCTACCAACTAATAAACCAGATTCCCTTCAAGGCTTTAGGTGGAGTCACTGACCAAGACGCTCACTACCATAGTGTAACATTGAAGCTTCCTAATGGTCACTAAAGCTAGATATTCAAAAGGAAACTTCCTAAGGAAGTGCTAGCTACTATATGTTCTCACTACACGACTGACATTCTCTCCCTTCAGTAGCTTTTCGAGGGTTTGAGGATGACAGTCAACGGAATGAAAAACTCGTGACAAAATTATAACATCACAAAGGTCTTCCATTGAACAACATAAACCCCCATTTTAAGTGGAAACAATGGCAGCGTGGGAACACTGTCTCCCCCTCACAAGCAAGGTTCTCCAACTAGTTGTTTATTCTGTGAACAGCAACATTTGATATGCTGTATCAATGCTTTAAATACTCGGACCGTGCCAGCATGGATTAGTCGCTTGTAACAGCTGCCAGCGTGTCTGAAGACCCTAGCAGCTGCCAGACCCCAGTTATGACAGATAAGGTCAACATCACACAGCTTTGTGTGACGGAGAGAGACCAACTCCGCCGTCACCAGGAGTTAAGCCCAAAATTAATGCAGCAGTCAACTCCCGCGAAGCTGAAGGCAGTGTAGAGGGCTGTGCTGACCCAAACCAATACTGCTGCAACCCTACTGACAGCCATGCTGACTCTGAACCAGGGGAAAAGGAAAGTCAGATGGGTGTTGGTTGAAGGCTCTCAAGAAACATTTGTCACCCAGAGGGTGAGAGAACAATTGAAACTGAAATCGGTGATGCAGGTCACCCTATAAATATATTGGGGAATTTAACCAACAGTGGACCTAGCTCTTATAACGAAAGTAAACCTTAGGTACGAACCCTCATCACGGCCCTTGTAAATTTGTTCATTTGATGCATCACGCTATTGTGATTTCTGTGTGTAAACCATAGGTTCATTTGAGCGGATACATCAGACCTGTATTCGCTGTAGTCGTGGATACTATCCCATCTGACCTATATGTGCTGGGTCTTGGGACCACGATAAATTATCTGAAACAGTAAGCAGCGACGAATTGACGAAGATTAAGCCACCCAAAAGGTGGCATGGGCATGAATAGCCCGTAAGTGGAGGCCTTTCTGAGCCATTACCAGTATCAATAGATGATACTGGAGATCTGTGGAGGTGCGACTGCACCCTGCGTGACGGGAGATGTCTCCCGTCAGTAAGCAGCGATGATGACATGTGAGATGTCGTATGGAGTGTGGGTGTGGTGAGGGTGTGGTGAGGGTGTGGTGGAGCCGGTGGGAAGAGGAAGGTGACGGTGGCGGCCGGTCGGCGCTGAGGTCAGGTCGTCAGGTCAGGCGGGCAGGTAGTCTTACTCTATTAGCTTTAGTAGCAGTTATTTCTGCTTACCGATAAGTAAAGATTAGATGACAGTCATCAGTGTTGACCTTAGCTTCAGGGACGAGGTGGAGTCGCTCTTTGAAGAAGACATTCCACAGCAAAGGGGGACCAAGCACACTCCCCTGTGGTACGCTGGCACTGCTTAGGTGACTTTCAAATTCATTTCTAATGAGGGTTATTTTACGAGTCTTGTCATTGAAGGTGGTTTTTTATGGGTTGTAATATGGAGATACTTAGTGCAGGAGGCCAGGCTTGTAAGCCAGTGACAAGCCCGATCACAGGCACCTGCCATGGGATCTCTCTCTCTCTCTCTCTCTCTCTCTCTCTCTCTCTCTCTCTCTCTCTCTCTCTCTCTCTCTCTCTCTCTCTCTCTCTCTCTCTCTCTCTCTCTCTCTCTCTCTCCCAGAGGAATGAGAGGTAACAAGCAGGTGCGAGGGGCCGCATGACTCCCTCTCTCAAGAAGAGTTATTAAAGTTGAGTTCAGCAAAGCATCGGTACACTCTCCAGGTACACTACCTCGGTATACCAGAACTGTTACACTCTGCAGGTATACCACCTCGGTATACCAGAACAGGATCGAAACGTCGTTTCTTCACTTTTGTTATTGTTAATGTGTGGTTTGGTCACCGTAGACTAGATTCATGGTGCTCTAGTGCACCAAGCGGGGTACGGAACAGTACACCAGTCAGCCCCCCCCCTCCCGTACACCCCGTCACACCCAGTACACCTTCGTCAGATCAGTTGCGTCGACCCGTACTGACGTCTCCAAATTGGAATATTCATAACGCCGTGAATATTCTGACACTGGGCGACCCCAGCAAGCACAACTAGGTGAGTACACTCACACAACACTCATCCCTCTCACACCACACTCACACCACCTACCATCCTCACACTCACACCACACTCACATGACCTCTCACACTCACACTCACACTCTCTATGACCATTCTCAAACTCACCACTCACACAACTCAATCACACAGCATTGACACTCACACTCACACCACTCCCACACCACTCACAAAAACAGAGGGACTCGGAATCAATAAGCGACTTCAGCGAGAGAGCGACTAGGAGCGCGCCGGACTGAACCACAGAAGAGGCAAAGAGAGAGAGAGAGAGAGAGAGAGAGAGAGAGAGAGAGAGAGAGAGAGAGAGAGAGAGAGAGAGAGAGAGAGAGAGAGAGAGAGAGAGAGAGAGAGAGAAGAGAGAGAGAGAAGAGAGAGAAAGAGAGAAAGAGAGAGAAAGAGAGAAGAGAGAGAGAGAGAGAGAGAGAGAGAGAGAGAGAGAGAGAGAGAGAGAGAGAGAGAGAGAGAGAGAGAGAGAGAGAGAGAGAGAGAGAGAGAGAAGGGAGAAAAGGAGAGGGAAGAGAACATATATTAGCCATTACAACCCCCTGCCGGTCTCAGACACCAAGAGGTTGGAACCCCCTGGAAGCAGGTTAAGGAGAGCTGCCTCAGACATGATCCCCATCACCTGTCTGGGGGAAGCCTCCCACAGCCTTCCCCCCATCACCTGTCTGGGGGAAGCCTCCCACAGCCTTCCCCCCATCACCTGTCTGGGGGAAGCCTCCCACAGCCTTCCCCCCATCACCTGTCTGGGGGAAGCCTCCCACAGCCTTCCC